AATGGTAACACTGTACTCTACTCTGGAATTGTAAGCAATTACGAATAGCAGCTTAATTTATTTATGAAGTATCTGAGATACGCAGAGCTTTATGATTTAAATAGAAATTCTTTGATCATATCAGCGTGGTATCTGTTGCGTATCGTCAAATTATTATAATGGACGTGGAAGATTAAGTAACTGGGCACTCGGATACGTGATAAAATCTTGAAACACACCATAATTTGGGTAAAATATTCGGTAGTAGTAGCATAGTAATGTTCTGAAGTTAAGCTATGATTAAAAGAACGTGTAACATTTTCTTAAAACGTAAAATATACAAAATAAACTTAAAACAAACGGCAGGAAACTCTTATCCCATGATCACGGCTAAGTACATTGCCATGTCTTTTATAAGTCTACCTCGGACAGTCTATAAAACGAGAACAAAGCAAAATAAACCATAAACAAAAGAGTATACAGTCTAAACTAGCCTTAGAATTTTAAAACAATAACGTTAGACATGAATAGGTAGGTACTCGATACGTTTGTCGACTCCAAATGGGTTTATTGATAATAACGATACAACAGTCACTGGCATATCAAACAGCGCTTTGTATCTCTGGATACAGACATGGAAATGTACTCTAAGTTATGGACGATAATAGTGTCTTTTACCCTACTGATTTGCAATTTGACAGCTCGTTACGATGTTGTCCTCGCAAAAAAATAATTACGTGCGAACTTTTTCCCGCCTTTAGTTGTAACAAAAATGGTTCGATGTTTAAAAAAATGTAGTTAACTTTTAAATAGCATGTTGCAACTAAACGACTGTCTTGGTTTCTGTTGAAATCAGTGTATTGCAACAAAACTGATGCGACATCGCTTAAAAGAGACGTGAAGCAATCTGCAGCTGGTTTGCGTGGACCCTTATGAAGTCCATTGCTGCGTTTAATTGACTTTGACGTTGGATTGCGCGTACTAACGGAGCAATGGCATCGTTTGTAGGCCGGGGTCGTGTCGCCAAATGTAGAGGCAATGTCAAGCACTTTAACTGACCAAATTCAGGTCTCTTATGTAATGATGTGACCAGTGTGGATGCTCTTACGTCATTCTATTTTTCAAATATGACTGGCCAAGAATTTACTCACTACGACCATTACGGGTGGTAATGAAATTTGTTTCCATCTAATATATTTTATGTTATACTTTTAGCTACAGTTATATGTTGATTGATATCTAATTTTAATATTGGCAATCCCAATATTTTATTTTCTACTATACTATATTATCTCCTCAAGGTTGAAATCGAACCAAAATTAGTAGGGAGGGTCCAAAATAATACTTGGCCTACCTAGTCACCTATCTACTTAACCATAAAAATTACTATAATCTTAAGTCTTAACCGAGAGCAACAGTTTCGACAAATTCATGTTCCCATTTTTGTAATAAAACACTATCACATCGTAATAGACTTAAAGGGGAAAGTGGTCAGTGAAAGTTTGAGTTTTGGCGAACCAGTTTGAAGGTCAGCTATGACGGCCGCCGAATTAGAAATTAAAATAGATAGACGATGTTTTTGCTTATAAATCTATCCTATAGAATAGTTATAGGTATTGATACATACCAATGCTGTGTGTGAGTCTGTTTGTTACATTTTCACGCCTAAACTGCTAAACATATTTTGATGCTGGCGCTAGTCGTCGATCACGGATGGTGATTTTGTAGTTAAGCTTTGTATGCAATTAAAAATAGATGTTTAGTGTCATAGGATGCCTGTTCGCCTTATTAGAGGTGCTCAATGTCTGGAATGAACCCAATTAGGGGTCATAGTTACGCGCAAAATCAACAATTCATTCTTAATGGATATTTGCGTAATTTGTCTTAATTCTTTTAATATCAGAATCTTTGGAAGGGGCGTTCTTTTGTAGAGTTATGTTATTTAGCGGGGAAAATATAATATTAAGAGTGAGTTGTTTTAAATTACCTAATTATTTTCAGTATTTTTGCACGGTCTCATTCATGGTCTGCAAATTTTAAGGTTTTATTTACCTATTTAGGTACACTACCTAGTTCACAGCAATATGACATGCTTCATTATGACTAAGTTTCCATTTTAAGACTTTTATTTAAAATAAACTTTCACTTTCTCTTTTGGAACAGATTTTTTTGCGATTTACCTACTACTTAGTTTAGCAAAATAAGCGTGAGAAAACGCCTTAATTTAGCCTTTATTAAAATAGCTTATTCTCAAACGTCTAACAACCTTCTAATGGCCGAAGACAATAACTGTCCTCAAATCAAAGAGTTTTTTTTGACATTGGTTCGATCAAGAGATTTTAGGATTTAATATAGGTTATCCATTCGGGTATAAAACTGCCATTGACATCTAGCCAGAGGGTCTTTGAAGATCGGCTGTCTGTCTAATCCGGTAACTAAACTTATACAGCAGCATAGCATTTTTAAGAGCAGTAGGCTATCGTCCATGCAAGATTAAACTAACCACGTGGTAATCGAATCTTATTAACTGTACATGTTTCACCAAAACAAAACCTCACTCGGTTTCATATTGTCCTCATTAAATGTTATTTGTATGTGTACTAGAAGCCACTGACAGTAGCAAATCGAAGTTGACTGCACGGTTGGTGCGGTGGCTGGGCAACCAGGCTCCCGTGCAACGTGTCGCGGGTTCGATTCCCGCACGGAACAACACTTTGTGTGATCCACAAATTGTTGTTCCTGGTCTGGGTGTCATTGTGTATGTGACCTTGTATGTCTGTAAACGCACCCACGACACAGGAGAAAATCCTAGTGTGGGGCAACGTTCCTTAAAAAAAAAAAAGAAGTTTACTAAACTATAAATACTCTTTACATCGATTATATTAACTTAATCACAAAATGAACAAGATTGTAAATCATTTGACAAAATTGATCAGTTTGGATTTGGAGTTGCATAATGATGTGCATTTATCTAGGCTTAATGATAATGATTTTCAACCTTATTTTATATTGGGACAAAGTTGAAACTCTGTTAAAAGAGTGGCGAGAGCTTCATGAACTTTGGTCTCTATACATACAGACCTACATACAATATTCTCGTAAGTTTAATAAGCTTCTCACGTCCATTTGAACTGAATGCTTAATTGTAAACCATTCAGTCGAATCACATTCGTATTGAAAACTAGAATTGTAGAACAAGTAAGAACCGAATTATATTAAAGTCAAGTGCACTAGTCTAGTAATTATTATTGCTATTACGTCAGTTATGTAATGTAAATAAAAATCCAGCTGAATGAATTGAAGCCAGTTTTAGACTATGTCAATGTTTGGTATTTAATTAACTACCTATGTCATTATGTGACTTGCTTTCGAGTTTTGTATTTTCGGTAATTTATTTTTTGGTAGTGATTTGAATTTAATCTGTCAAACACCAAGCGGTCACCGGTGACCGCGATCTATTGTTCTTTAATTGTGTCTATAAAACCGGTACTCGACGAGTTAATAAAAATTAAATAACAATATGTGCGAATAATTAGAAAATAAGTAAAGGGTAAAACTATAAAAGCTAAAGCCTTTTCACTTAGTTCGACTTGGCGGTGTGCACTACCCCACCGTGCCCCCAGAGACCAGACGTCAATTGCACGATGTGACTAGGTACTAAGTAAACATAATTTTTGGGGTTATCCAACACAAAACTATTTTTTTCAAATCGGACCATTAGTTCCTGAGATGTCTTGTATGAATAATAATAGTATGCTGCTTTCTGGCCACTTTACTTGTATGTTTTCAAAAATGTTTATTGTTGACTAATGTAGCTATATAGCAACAACAAGCCTACCGATGTAAAATTACAAAGCCTTGGCCGACAACTGCAAATTATTGACAATCACTTACTCAATAAGGTACAAAATAATTACCTACACACTCGCTCGTAATCTGAATATAACATTGGATCCAATGTCGCAATGTCGTTAAAGTTTTGACTTACAATGTGTTTAATATTTATCAACTAAAAAGAACATAAAGTGTAAAATACAAATCTTCAAATTCCTAAGCCTATAACGCACTTGTAACACTTCTGGTGTTTCGGGTATCCTTGGGCGACGCCAATTGCTTACCACCAGGTGATCCGTCTGCTCGTTTACCTGCTTATTCCATAAAAAAACACCTAAGTAAGTATTATGTAGGGAACTTAAAGAATAGAGCGTAAGTATTCCCTTTTAAAAGGCCGGCAACGCACCTGTGACTTCTCTGGTGTTACGGGTGTCCATGGGCGGCGCCAGCGGCGCTTATCGCTTACCATCAGGTGATTTGTCTGCTCGTTTGCCTCCTATTCCATAAAAAAAACTTAAGAGCGATTTCCCTGAATTAACGTCAAAATTATGACTGCATTTTAGATGTTTATAACTACAGTTATACCTATACCTAATGATAATTAACTGTAGGTGATTTATGAACATTTTAAGCGTCCTACATTATACATAAGCAGGTTCATCATTCATTACGCATGTAGATATGTACCTAATATGGTACATAAGTAGTTAATTAGCTAATCTTTACATTTGCGTGTCTGAACAAACGTTCCTCGACACACAACACATCTCACGCTCTGAGGAAACTTGAAGGTCGACCAATATTTGGTTTGCACATACATTGGGAATAGGATATTTTATTAATCCGGATGTCACGTTGTATTAATACATATTTCCAATATCAATAGGTAAAGAAGAACCTCATGCCCAATTAACTTAATTACGATTTGAAGGAAAATGAGTAGGTAATTAGCTACAGAGCCGCATTGAAAGAAAGATTTACAATGTTTACTACAAAAAAACATTACAAAATAAAATATAACGAGAATTTACCGGGCCAACGACCCCACATAAAACCCTTTGAACTTCAGACAAAAGGACTTAAAAATTTCTTCATCCTTGTAGCTTCATGAATAAATCAATCAAATAAGTAGCTATCTACCGATAAATAGCTAAATAATTCTATTGTTTTGTTACAGATAAATCAAAATGGCGACCTCAGTCCTCCAGCCCGAAGATTGCCGAAGGGAGCACGAACCAAAACACGAGGTCATCGATGCGCCGAGGTTAACCGATGATGACCGAACGTATTTACTTGAGGCTAAAGAACGGGAAACCGGTGAACTGCCCGCAGAACTGAGGGAAAAAGCCAGGACTGAACTGAGAGAGGAACCAGCACTTAGGGAACAGGCTTTAGAACAAATGAGACACTTTATAGAGAAACATCCAGCTATCAAGAAGTGTAGAACTGGTAAGAAGTTACCTAATTATTAGGTATGTAGATCTAGAATTAAGAATTCCGCTGATGCCCTAATACTGCTCTGCTAGGGTATTCTATAAGTTTGATCTGTAAAGATCTAAGTGAACTCGTCCACCAAGAGTCCATGTCATTGGTTGTGAGAATAATCTCGAACAATCTAGGGCGAGAATGCGATCGAGCTCACTTCGAGAGTTCCAATTGACATCTTACAGAATAGTCTGGCAAAAAAAAACCACCCCGTTCCTACTCCTGCACTTCGAGCCGGAGCCCTGGCAACCCGTTAAGTCTTCCGCGGCTCCGTATCGGCATCAGCCCGGTTGGGCCCCATTTGTGGTGGTCTGATAGCTCCTTGAGGCGCGCGCGAAACGCGACGCGCCGTACGCTCGGGCGGCGAGTCACAGAATAGATCGTTTCTTTTTCAATCTCTAAGTTCTATTTATTCTTGATTTTTGTCTAGTACAGTATCAAAAACCAGCATCTTAAAAGGTTCATTTTAAAATTTAAAAAAAATACACAGCTTCAAGAAAACGACGGCATACAGATCCAGATTCTAACCAATTTACACCCCTATTATGCTAGGAAACGGGTGGATATCCTCTGAACTTAAAATAATCCAGTGCTTCGAAACTTTTTCTTGGTTATCTTTAAGAAATTTTGAGCCAAAATTTAAAGAGGTTAAGGTAAAGATTGCCTTGTTCGTTTGAGATTCAGGTCACATTGTATGCAAATACTGTGTCCGTTACTTCATCGCGTAGCCCTTTAAGTGCAACTCTCGAATGCACAATGATTATAGTGACAATCATGTATAAAGTAGAACGTATGACAAAGTTGCTTGGCAGTAACGTACTACCAAGCTTATCTTGGCTAGGTATTTGGGTTTCATTTTCTTCATATTTTTAATTTAGGTACTCCTTTAGAATTTTCCTCTTTCAAACACGATACTGGACTGAATTACCTCTAGTTTTCGAAGGTCTTCCGACAGATACGTTCACAATCGCATAGGGCAAGGCAATATATAGTGTAATAAACCTATCACCTTTTTTTGTCCAATCCGCCTTTATCTCACTATTCAACTCTTTTTATTTTGGGGTGAAAGTCATCCAATGACTTCTCTCACCCGGGTAAGGGGAGAGGGAGTGTCGGACTCTTACTGGCTAAAATTCACCCCATTCCTTCTGTACTTCGAACCGGAGCTCCGGCAAACTGTTAACTCTGTGGGTTCGTATCGGCATCAGCCCTATTGGGTCCCACATGTGGTGGTCTGATGGCTCCTTGATGCGCGCGTGGAATGCAACGCGCCCTACGCTCGCGTCTGGTTCTAATCAGATGGCGAGTTACCCGTACTCGCCGTCCGCAGGCCCGTGCTTGCGGTAACTTACCAAGACCCTGACATTTCATGTTAGAATTTCGGCAGATGGACTTTAATCACAAATTCTTTTTGCAGACACACCATTCCTCCTCCGTTTTCTCCGAACAAAGAAGTACTCAATTCCGCAAGCGTGTTCCATGCTGGAGAGATACCTCACCATCCGAGAAATGTATCCTCAATGGTTCAAGAAACTAGACCCTCTGGACCCTAAGATCGCTGCTGTTATTGACGCTGGATACTTGGTACCCTTGCCTAAAAGAGATGCTGAAGGCAGACGAGTTGTTCTGTCTTGTATGGGTAAGTGTGTGAAGTTGATTGTTTGTATTAAACGAAACTACTTTATTTAGACTAAAGGAACCGTTTTTATCAGAAAAACACAAATAATTAGTGACATTGTTCGGTCGCAAGTCTTTTTTTTTCGATAGGATCAAAGGTTGCCCACCTATAACGAGCTGATGAATCACCAAAGCAATATCTTTGTCAAGTAATCAGCATTGCTCATGGACATCCGTAACACTAGGAGTTACAAATGAGTTACCGATCGTGGTATTCTCTAGACGATTATTCATATTTTGCTGAATCTGATCTGGGGTACTAAGTTTTGACTTTAAATATCCCCTTTTCTTCACCAGGTCGCTTCGATCCTCATCAGTTCGACAACTGCGTGATGGCCCGCGTCCACTCTATGATCGTGGAGCTGTTGCTGGACGAGCCACGGTCTCAAGTCCTAGGTTACACCCACGTCAATGACGAGGCTGGTATGCAGATGCCCCATGTTAGCCTGTGGTCTCTCACTGACGTCAGGGTTATGCTGAACTGTATACAGGTGAGGTTTTTATTTGATTTTTAGATCTTTAAAACATTATGAAACTGAAGATTCTGTGTCCTGAAATAGGACTATTGTCCAACATCGTCGGACAAAAAAGGCCTCATAGATTGGAGATCGGTTGGGCAACCGGTTGCTACGCCTTGCCTAACAAGCCTTTGCTTGTTGCTGGTTCGATTCCCGTATACAACAATAAAAACCTGTTGCGTGTATAATTATGTTTTTAGATTACATATTTACAAATAAAATTATTTTTAGCGTTGTGTTATTTTTTCTATTCCAGAATTCAACCCCAATGAGGCATAAACGTACCCACTTCGTAAACATTCCACACTACGGAGTTAAGTTCTTCGAGTTCGCCGTCTCTTTGCTCAGTGATAAACTGAAGGACCGTGTGATGGTAATTTTTATTATTTGTCTACTGGAATAATACAATTATTAAAGTCATACCTATATTTACAAAATCATGGGCACCTCAACCGCATAAACTACTTACATAAAAAAATAAAGCCATCAGGTTTGAAATAATGCAATGCAATACTAGCGAACTTCAGTTCGGTGCTAGTCATAGATGTGTAAAAAGTGTAAATTAAATTTATTTGAACTTGCAACACTAAATAGGCCATAGTGAAAACCATAAACTTTTTCCAATATATTAGTACAGTCAAGAGCTTTTCAAAGCTCAAAGGCAAACTTAAATTGCGTAAAAAAAGTCAATGTTAATTTTAATTTATAATTATGTTTTCTAATTAGTACAGGGAATTACAGAATATAATTTAAAACGTCTACTCGTTGATGACTTCAATATTTTTAAATAAAGTTTCTCGTCATTTGAATATCACAAATCACAATTCAATGCAAATTATACGTAAGCTGATATGATAAATGTTGATTTTTGTAATATCATTTATTTGGAAAATTACATAATATTTTTGCAATTACACAATTTATTTTATCAAAGTTTTATAAACCTCGTAGGGTTACAGTTTCATACAGAGAAGAAAAATATTTAATGTTAAGTTAGTTTACCTATGTAGAAATTGTAATGCATTTTTTTTTCTGTTCACAGTTCCACAGAACCAGTGAAGATTTAATGAAGCATGTTGATCCATCGGTCTTGCCCAAAGAATACGGTGGTACTGTGCCTCTCAAAGACATGATTGAAGAACTAAAACGCAACCTCCTGAAACACAGAGAAGCTTTGCTAGCTTTAGATGATATGTCAGTAGATTTACACGCGCTGGAGAAGAATGATCTAACTCAAGACATACATTCAACGGCAGGATCTTTCAGAAAACTTGAATTAGATTAAGATTGTTGTTGTAAAATGACGCTAATTATGAATCTAAGAAACATTTTATTGATATTGATTATTGTGTTTAAAGTGAAACTCTTTCATTGAAAGTTTTTTGAGCGGGACGAAAAGCGTAGACAATTATTTTTATTCCACTTATAGTTAACATATACTTCTTCAAATCTTGCTTCGCTTTCAGAGTAATTATACTAGGGATTATATTTAATTTTAGTTCAATAATCATTTTGTGATGGCTATTGTTAGTAACACATTATTCAATATAATTACGCAATAAAATAATCATATATGCAAATAGATCTCATTCACTGTTATAAGATTATATGAAAGAAATATTCATAACAACGTAAAAATAATTGCTTTCAAAGTTGTATATTTTTGAGATTACATTTTATGGCAGTTTGCACTTTAATTAATTTTCTAAGCATACATTTATTTTATTTTAGTGACTATTATAGAGAGCTTGTGGCAGCCGTCGGTGGTGTCACGTTACCATTCTTTACGGAAGGTTCTGAAAAATATTGTCATTGTATTCAGTTGCAATGTGTGTAACTTAATAACGATTAGATTTCTCGTATATTTAAGATAACTGCCAACATGACAAACTGACTGCTGCATTAAATTAACCCCATTTAGTAATTTGAGAGGGCCACTTTTTAACAGCGCTTTTTTGTAATGAATATTATTGTTATTGATTATCATCATCGGTTTTGTGAGTCATCCGAAGTATTGTGGGTACATAATATTTTAAGATTTAAATAATAAAGTAAATGAAAACAAATCGCCTTTTTTATTTTTAAAATAATATACATATAAAAACACAACACAACCCTATTCCTCCTTTCCTGCAATTAATTTATTTAGGTAGGCAAAATACATATTTTTTTTAATAATTGAGCACGGACACTATTTTATTTTAATGAAAAAAGTTAACCAAAACTTTTAAGCAAAAAACTTTAGTGTTCGATTGTACACAGTATTGTAAAAATCGAATATTAAATGACCATAGACAAATACCATAACTACAAACGCGTGTAATGCATAGACAATTTAAGAAAAATGTCATAGACTATAGACGGCCTTGAATTGCGAGCGATATGATGCCAACTTCGCTGTAGTTTTTCCCGCAGTTTGGCGTCCACATAGATTGATAAAAAAATTATTAGCACGATTTTTCTATGTATTTAGATCAATAGGACATTTTTCAACCCTTATGATTTACTTTCCAGTGTCGTGTTCATGAAACAATTATGCTATAACAGTGAACAGTTTGTTTGACTTGAAATATTGTGGTGGATTTTGTAAACATCGGGACGTGAACGCAGGCCCACGTCTATGAATTCTTGTACGTATTCTAGCCATTATAGTTTTTTCTTCTCTGTTTATGTGTAATCAAGATGCAGATTCGGTGTATTTTGGTGTAATTTGGTGCAGTAAAGGTGGATTAACCTCTTAAGTTTGTATTGTTTGCTTGGTCGTAAAAACTGGGTCTGCCATAATCTAGCATAATTTGATTGTTGTTTAAACCACGAGCCCAGCAACAGGGTAGGATAAATATCACGTTTGCCATGATATTTATGTGAGAAAACGGTGAGTTATGACTGAATTTGATCGACACGTCATGTTTTATGTTTCTAAACATCATCAGTGATGTTGTTTTGAGGACGAGGTTTTTTATTTTTCACGATCGGTCGTAATCAATAAAGATTTGCGTGATAAGCTGCCAGCCTCATGTTAGGTCAAGTACAGATAAGAGGATTCAGGTATAGGTTATTGTTTATTGCTAAAAATGTTGGCTGAATGCACATACTGGTGATGACCACTTTGTTCCAATATGTCACGACGCTCGCCAGGTAAACAGTATTGGAACATCAATGTCCCTCTATGCTCGGCCGAATTTTCATTTGGTATTTTGTATTTATGGTTATTGCACAAAGAGCTAGGATATGAAACCCATATTCTAGATCTTTCCATATCCCTTCACAGTAAATCTGATCATCTGGTGTGCATTATCCCTATTTCAATGCCTTGACCTACTTTCAGTGCAAACTTATGTTGTTAACAGTTTAAATGCTCACTTTCAGTAGTCTTAGGGCCTATATGTAGAAACATGAAAATGATAGGGATTTTGTGTGAAAATGCTATTAAATACACTTGAGCTTGAATTTGTGTTGACGGGATGAGTTGAGAATATTCAGAGGGTTTTCAACAAACTTATTATGTTGATGATGTGGTAGAGAACTATGATAGTGCTTATTATGATCTAGTCCTAAGCAAATAGTTCATTATTTTAATTCAAATGTATGCAACTTTTATTACCAGTTAATAGTTAATACCAGTTAATAGTTGTATTATTGTTCCTATTTCTTTACTAATGAGAATGTCACTTAGAAAAGTAGTAAATGTATTGTATTGTTTGATGTTTATAGTTAAAACTGGTTCTTGTTCCATTTGCACATAACTAGCCTTTTCCTATCCTTTGAGATTCTAATAATGCACTGAATTACAGAATTAACATATTTTCTTTGATGAACATAGGTTTTATAACAGCGTAATTTTCTCATAAACTATCATTAACTAAGATAGTGTTAGTAAAATAATTGTTAAAATATCAATTGGGTGAGCCCTATAACATAGGATTCACAATAACTGTCAAAAGTTTGTGTTATATATGTATGTACATTTTTATCTACTTCCATGTAATGCATGTACGAACTAAACTTGTTACTTATTCTGCCTAATCGATCTTCCTATGCTATTGGTCAGTGCAACAAGTTATTTCTTATTTGTCTCCTATATCAAGCATCATCATATCACAGACACTTGTTTGCTGATATTCAAACAGTTTGGCAAACAGGTGTCCTAGATTCCGTAGTGGCAGTACAGATTCAGGACTTGCTTGTCCTTAGGAAAACTGGCTAGAATCATCTTATTTGTATTTTAGTGCAGGGTAGAATATTTTGTCTGTATTCTTAATGTGGTTGATACTAAAGCTATGGGAATTACAAATGCATAGTAGACATTCCTAGTCTTTTTTCGTGTTATTTTTTTGGTGGATCGTACACATTAATAATAAAGACAGTGTTTATAGAGACGTCCGTCATCAAGGATTTTAGACCAGCTTCTTGAGCACTGGTTTCCTGCCTAGATAACTACCACCTACACATTTGATAGAGCAGAGAACAGCTCTTTGATAAACCTACACTTTTTAAACTGTGATCTCTAGCTTGCCTTCCAAGTGTGGAGAGCACAAATAAACCAAACATAGACAAACCCCTCTTATGTAGAGGAGGCTCATAGACCAGCAGTAGGCTGTCACTCGCTGACAATGTTGTTGATATTACACCCAAAAAAAAGGTTAGACTTAATAAACATGTATTTGGGTCACATAATAGGAGCAATCCAATAAATAGTAACTAGTACAAGAGGAAAACATTACAACTATTGGTAAAGTCAAATGAAACAATACTGTAACATGATTTTGTTGATTGTTTCATTCCTACACTAAAGTGTCCTGCTTTAAATCAATATAAGTGTTCAACAAATTGAATCCTAAATATTACTGTTGATATGTAATTGTAGAAATAACTTATTACTTTTATATCCTTGAAGGCAGAAATGCACTTAGGGCGGATTTTTTCCAATGCCAGATAAATTTTAACTGTGGAATAACTTTGAATATTTGACAATCCTATCATACTAAACACTGTCTAATGTAAATTTTATTCTACAGTTAAAAGATAACTGATGATTGAAAACTCAGCTCTCAATAAAATGTAATAATAATATTATCCAATGTTTAATCACAATATGTTAATGTGTATGTACTCCTATGTACAGGAGGAGGATTTGGTCTCCTACACATTAATCTTACACAATGTTTTTGTTTTTTGGGTAACAACCTACCTAATAAAGATTTAGGGCCTATTTCACAGCATCTGATTAACTATATCAAATTATTAACCAAATTTTAATTTTTTTTTAAATATAAAATGTGCTAACCCATATATCCCTAAGCGGTCACCGGTGACCGCTCTCCACAAACTACATTTATAGACCTTATTTCCAATGTTTAGAGACTACTTTTGTATGAATAAATGTAAGGGATGAATTTCAATGGGTGTTTAGTTTTTATAACAGAAACTTAATCAAACATTGTGGTGGATCAGGTCTTTTTTTACTGTAATATTTGTTAGGTTATATATTACTAGCTTTTACCCGCGGCTTCGCTCGCGTCACAAAAGGATAAAAAGTAGCCTATGTGACATATACCAATACATACAGCGCCATCTATACCAATACTTTTGTTTTCCCTCGGGAATATTAAATTTTTTCGGGATAAAAAGTACCCTATTATTTAATCCAGACTACTAACTTTACGTCTGCAAAAATTCAATGCAATCGGTTTAGTAGTTACGGCGTGAAGTCGGAACAAACAAACAAACTCACTTTCCGATTTATAATATTAGTAAGGATATATTTGAACATGACTAATGTAAAGTTAATAGAAGTAAATTGTAACTGATTAATGATATTATAGGGAGAATATAAAGTGTTGAGCTCGTATTATTGTAGGAGAGTAACTAGGATGAAAAGTTTCTACCTCTTTTGCTACAAAGGAGGTATAATTTTACTTGCAAAGTTCCCTTAAAGTATTTTTCCTTCATCTGGTTTAACATATTTCTAAGGTCTCAGTGACTTTGTTTCAAATGGCCCTTTTGTGAGAACTGTTTGTATGGGTTTACTTTTATGATAAAGTGATATTTAAAATGTTTTATGTGATAAAATACATGAATTATTTTAAGTAATAACAACTAAGTGATTGAACAAACTTAGTAGAACACTTGAAAGAAAAATTGCTTGACTAAGGGTATGTTTAGACTAATGTCTAATAACTACCTTTATTTATCAGTTTCTATTATGGGCCATAATATATTGAAAGTCCATTAATTATATCTAGAAGTGTGTTTATTACAGAAATATGCCATTTATTACTTTTGGGATCAGCCTTTATGTCTTGAGTTGAGACAGTATGGTCAACTCCATACTGTATTAATTTTATTGGCTAAAGGTTTTTCTTTTTTTAACTCTTTGATATAATAATGGCGTTACATTGTACTCACATAATTGAAACAACAAATCAATGTTACCAAAAATTGTATTTGGAACTTAATTGAAAAAGGGTAACCTATGGAGTTTCCTGCATATTCTTCTCTTTAGGAATCAATACTTCGGAATGAGCAAATAGCTTGAATACCTCTATTCAAGAATTCAAGAATAACCAAGGGATTACCAGCGAACTGACATTCTTAATAATTGTTTGACATTCAAAAGTGCTTTTGACCAGAAAGTAAATAAATGATTTTGACTTAGACTTTGATTGCAGATATAGGGTGTATTTTTTTACTTAACTAATTTAGTTGTTTATTTCTACTTCAGATTGGCAGCATGGCGGAAATAGTGTACCCGCAAGGCTGCCGTCCAATCACCGATGACCTCGGTCCAGATGAACTTGTCAGGAGACTTAAGGTATGTTCATCTTTATTATTTAATATGATTTGATATATTCATTCAAGTTTTAAGCAAGCATTCAAGTGACAAGCCAGTTAGTGTGTTGTAGATGAAGTAAGAGATGCTAGAATGTATGTATGATGAAGAGGTATCACAAAATCACACATTTTGTGTCTCCTATACTTCTTTCTCTGTGTCCTATTGCCTTATCACTGTCATGTTTATTTGAAGAGACGGTGACAATTTAATGAATATAAGATAGTGTCATCAAAAAATGATAGATAGTAAGATCAACTGAAATAAATGTCTAGTAGATATTTTTGTCTAATTCAGTTTATTTATGTTTAATTCTGTCAAGATCTAAGGAGTCACCGTTGAACACTCTCCACTTATAGGCCTTATTTCCGAGGTTTAGAGAATACTTTTGAATGAACAGGTGTTGTGGATTTTTCATAATTGGACATAGAGGTTTTTCATTGGAAGATTTTTAATTGAATCTACCGGTTAAAATTTTGTTTGTACCAATCTTTCTACTGGAAAATCAACTTTACTTTCTACTACTTAAAATAAATTAGTAATAAGTAATCACTAATCAGAATCACTCACACTAATCAGATTAATGATTTTTGAGAATAATAATTTAGTATTAAATGTTGGTGGTCCTCTTGCACTTAGTAATTCCTATCGCCTGATATAATTGTTCAACAAAACTGAAACACAGTCAAATGCATAAAACTTGACATTCATAATCATGATAACTGTTATCAGACATTGGCTTTCAGGAAAATGGAAATATGTAGGTATTGTTAGGACTTGATTTCTACTTATTATTTAACATACATACATTCATAAATTCACGCCTGTCTCCCATGGGGGTAGGCAGAGACTAGGGAACGCCAATTACTACGATTCCTACATACCTCTTTCGCTTCATCAACAGTCATCAATCTTTTCATGCACGCTCGTCGGTTAAGGGTACTTTTAATTTGGCCCTTCTTTAAATAATTCAGTTTTGTTTAAAACAGTACTACCATTCCTACTGCTTGAAAATATTAATTTTTTTAAAGGGTTCTTTGACCACGGCTTTTTAGAAAACCGCGCATCGCTTGAAGTTCTCTCCAAACCTCTTGCCTTACCCAGTGTGTAAGGTAGTCATTCAATGATTCCCCCCTCCCCAATAAAAGGTAGCATAACTACTCTATATGAGCTTATTATAGCTCTATTTACCTTCCTAAAGAATTAGAGGCGTGACGTGCGATAATCACTCTTATTGCTTGTGAAATAAGAACGCTTACTAGGTCGAACTGTCACCATATATCAACCAAGAATCATGGACTAGTGTAAAACAAGTTGGCAGTTGCCTATTATGTCCTGTCTCCGTCTGTTAGGGCTGTCACGAAGCTTACAGTTGTAACTAAAAGTTAACGACAGTTACCTTCTCCTGTCCCGTGTTTAGTAGTTTTGTTTGTATGCCTAAATAATGGTTGTACTAACATCAGTTTATTATAGTTTAAACAGCGATCCGAGGCTGGCATGACTAAACTAAGTAATGGGTCACTGAAAAAAAGTGCTTTTTTGGCTAAGGGGATTTCTGGATCCACTTTGATCTAGGTTTTCTTATTTTACTAGCTAGAGTAATATCTATTACCAGTGAGAGGTAGCCGCGGAGGACTTAACTGGTTGCCGGGGCACCGGCTTGCAACTGCAGAAGTAGGAACGGTGTGGTTTTTAGTCAGTAAAAATTGACACTCACTCCTGCCTCGCAATGTGTAATAAAAATAAAAAATAACATAACATCTCGTCTTTTATTCCCGAAGGAGTAGGCAGAGGTGTACATTATGCCACTGTCCAATGTAACACCCACTTCACTATTTATGTTATGAGTCCCATGTAATAGGGGGTGAGCCTATTGCCATATACCTGGCACAATTCCAAACTCCGTGCTACTACTGTGATTTTTTTGAAAAAACCGTTAATACTTTGCCCGACCCAGGAATCGAATCCGAGTCCCCTTGCCCGGCAGTCGCCTTTGCGACCACTCAGCTAATGAGGCAGTCAAAGTAAAATTTTTAATCTTTTAATTTTTCGAAACAAGCTCTATGCAAAGATATTATATATTTTCACAAAAATAACAAAGTAGTCGCAGCTCAGTGACAGAAGGACAGACAGACAGATGAAGAGGAGAACTTAGTTAAAGTTCTATCCGTCCCTCAGGGTACAGAACCTTCCAAATCCACTTAATTCAGATGTCTGTCAACCCTAGCACGTTCGTAGATATGACGAGACGTCAAATGCAGTAGACGAGCTTAAAAACTAATTTTATTTTTCTGTAAACATATTGTTTTTGACAGTTTAATAACATATAACATTTCGTATAATATCCCCCGAAAAGCAATAGGGAGAGGTGCTCGAAACAATGTAGGTAACCCGATGAGGTCGGAAAGGCAAAAGTGCACAAACATCATTGGCCCTATTGGAATTTGCGGTTTGCTTTAGGGGAGGACTCCTAGATCTCCGCTCCTAGTTATCTATTTGACGACATTCAAATCGCATTACAATTTAATTTGCATGCCGAAAGGTAAAATGTACTGGGTCAATTAACTTTATTCCATCTTATATGTATACCTACATTATTAGCAAATAAATGATTTCTTTCTTTCTTCCGAGACCTCGTGCTTCACAATCAGACTTCCGAGTTCCGACCACATTACCTTTCTTTAAAGGTAAAACTACTAACTACGCTGCTTTTTCAGTTTCTCAGTAAAACAAGTCGTTTTCGAATAGTTTCTAGTTAGGCAACATTAAAAATGTTCTTCAAACTACGAACTAAAACTCATATTTTTATAACCCTTAGAAATTAAATCACATTCAAATGATGGTGGTACGACGGCATTTGTATTTGTGTATAGGTACAGGTATCGAATAACCTCAGTTATTCACTACTGAATATACTAAACAGGTGTAGGTACTATAAAGCGCATAGGTGTACCTACCGACATGTGTAGTGCAGTAAATGTACGTGCTTGGAGTTGTCACGTTGATAAAAAATCCATACTGTTTGCATCCTTTTCATTCGTTTAATCCCAACTAAATAAAGGTTGAGCTTTCTTCTACTCAACCAATCTTTTTACTTGTAGTTGTAAGTACAGACAAGGACAGAGGGCAGTTCCCGCTGCTTCATGTAAATGCGAAAGGAAATTCAGGGTCTACATCACGCTCCAGACCCAAAATTTACATTATAGAAAGAAAACTCCAATGCGACCTGAAACAAAAATAGACAATCATAATGTTAGTAAGGATATCATTCAAATACATTTTCATTACCAAAACGAAACAATAACATAACGATTATCAGCTAGAACTAGTCCAGACCATGTATTCACAATTCACATGTAATCCTCTGCATGGACAGAGCCGTTGGAGCTTCGCTCCGCCACACGTCACCCGATCCTTTGCTTCATAAATCGTTTGTAAGCCAGCTCTCGATCTAATCCAAGCCTTTACTTACCTAAACTTTATTTTACAAAGGCTTTTACACTTGTTTTCTTTGATTTTTATCGATCCTGGAATGTTCTAGAGAGGGAGGAAAATTCTTTTCTGTCATGGGCTCTCAAGTTTAAAAGATTTCTGACGAGGACCGGACTTATGGTGAACAAATTGTAGTGTTTAAAAATACTAATTGAAAAATATAATAGACGCATTACTCGCCCCTACAAGTTTCGAAAGTTCCCCTCGGTTTCCCTAGGATTCTATCACCAGATCCTGACTTCATGGAAATGGGACTATCTCGGGAGTATCAAACCCTTTCAAACTAAACAAGAATTTTGGAAATCGGTTCACAAATGGCGGAGTAATCGGCGAACAAACAAAAAAAAAAATCAGCAGAACATAGTACCTCCTCCTTTTTTTGAAGTCTGTAAAAAAGAGCATCGTGTCTATCATAACTTTGCTGGTCTACTTTACTGTTTTTGATTGCGGATTAGTTTGCCCAACATTTTTCTGGATTCCTAAAGATAGTAGATACGATTTATCACTACCATGTTATGCTTTCGTTAGTCATAAAGCAGGTAGGTACCATTTGTGTACGTTTTGCTGACAAATTGAGCGAGAGCACTCAGTTGTGTCAAATGTCATTCGTTTGTGCTTCGTAAGGTCTTGTGCACTTCATGGTACTTTGTTGTGATATCATCTTCGACTAGCAATTATAATTTTTTTTCGGTTTATAACTTTAATATTTATTTACTAAATTATTTATTTTAGGACTATAAGATTTAAACTTAATTTATCTTTATTGTGTATTTGTCTCAGAGTTATGTAAGAATCATTATGATCGCGAATATTCTTCATTTCCGTAATATGCAACATGTTTTGTGTTTTCTTCTTAAAACTCATTTATAACAATCGTCTATGTAAAGAAGACTTATCCTTCCTCCGTTTTCCTACACCCTGACGTCATCTCGAATCTGATTGACCCCTGTAATCTTAAGCTTGGGACCAAAGCCTGCATAATTTGTCATTTACGTAATTTGTCATTCCAACACCGAACCGTTCAGCTGTCTGTTCGTGATTGTGAACGAGATTACCGATATACGAAACAATTTATTCAATGGAAATCCGTTATGACGCATTCTCGGTACATTTCATCAAAACTGATCCGATAATTACAATGCTTTTGTAATACAAATAATCTTTCTTGTCCGTATTGTTCGAGGCGCGTCATCTGCTGACTTGGGTTAAATGAAAACTGAGACAGCATGCCGTTTGAGTGGTGGAACATTCTTGAAAATGCCAGGAGAGCCTTATTCAAAAGTGGCCAACGACAAGCTATTATTTATATAAGACGCGCGCCGCTGTCCATCTGTCCTTCCGCCCTTCCACCTTCCATACGTCATTAAGACCTATATCATTAAGGCTAAACATATTCATATACGTAAACTAGTGCTAAAACTGACGTACAAGGCCGTCACACTTTTGATTGAGTATTAAAATAGTTGTATATCAAATTAGGGAGGGACTGC